TCCCTCCTGGCACCCAGTGGAGCCTCCAACGGCCAGTCTACGGTCTCCGCCAGGCACCGCGTGAGTGGCACGGCACACTGAGGACTACGCTTGTGGCTCTTGGGTTTGCTCCCTCTACTGCTGACCCGTTGTTGTTTCTTCGCACCGACACCTCTCTGCCGCCGTTCTACATCCTCGTATACGTCGACGACTTGGTCTTTGCCACAGCTGGCACTGCTGGACTCACCTACGTGAAGTCCAAGCTGCAAAAGAGACACACGTGCACAAAGTTGGGTGACCTGCAAAGCTACCTTGGCTTGCAGATCGCCCGGGACAGAGCACGCCACACCATTACCTTGACTCAGTCACACGTGGTGCAGCAGGTCCTTCAACGTTTCGGCCTCACGTACTCCTCGCCTCAGGCCACTCCTCTGTCTACTCGCAACTTGCTCTCAGCTGTGCCTTCGGATGAGTCCGTAGAGTCGAGTGGCCCGTACCCAGAGCTTGTTGGCTGCCTCATGTACCTGATGACCTGCACACGACCTGACCTTGCATACCCTCTTAGCATTTTTGCACGCTATGTTGCTCCCGGGGGACACCGACCAGAGCACGTTTCGCTGCCATTGCCGCCCGGAGCCTCGCCGCCCTTGCCGTCCGCAGCCTCACCGCCCTGGCCGCCTGCTGCCTCGCCGGCCATTCCGTTTGCTGCCTCACTACCCTCGCCGCCCGCTGCCTCGCCGCCATTGCCGCCCGCTGCCTCGCCGCCCTGGCCGCCAGCTGCCTCGCCGGCCTTGCCGCCCGACGCCTCGTGGCCCTTGCCGCCCGGCGCCTCGCCGCCATTGCCACCTGCTGCCTCACCGCCCCTCGCGCCCCCTACCTCGCTGCCCTTGCTGTATGCTGCCTCACCAACCTTGGCGCCTGCTGCATCGCCGGACTTACCGCCTGCTGCCTCACTGCCTTTTCCGCCTGCTGCCTCGCCGCCCTTGCCACCCGCTGCCTCGCCGCCCTTGCCGCCCGTTGCCTCGCTGCCCTTGCCACCCGCTGCCTTGCTGGCCTTGCCGCCTGCTGCCTCCTTAACAGCACCCCTTACTGCCTCGCTGCCCTTACCGCCTTTTGCCTCCTTGACAGCACCGCCTACTGCCTCGCTGCCCTTGCCGCCTAATGCCTCGTTGAAAGCACCGCCTACTGCCTTGCTGCCCTTGCCGCCTGATGCCTCATTGACAGCACCACCTACTACCTCGCCGCCCTTGCCGCCTAATGCCTCGTTGACAGCACCGCCTACTGCCTCGTTGCCCTTGCCGCCTGATGCCTCGTTCACAACACCGCCTACTTCCTTGCTGCCCTTGCCGCGTGATGCCTCGTTGAGAGCACTACCTACTGCCTCGCTGCCCTTGCCACATGATGCCTCGTTGATAGCACCGCCTACCGCCTCGCTGCCCTTGCCGCCTGATGCCTCGTTGACAGCACCGCCTACTGCCTCGCTGCCCTTGCCGCCTGATGCCTCGTTGACAGCACCGCCTGCTGCCTCGCTGCCCTTGCCGCCTGATGCCTCGTTGACAGCACCGCTTACTGCCTTGCTGCCGTTGCCGCCTGATGCCTCGTTAACAGCACCGCCTACTGCCTCGCTGCCCTTGCCGCCTGATGCCTCGTTGACAGCACCGCCTACTGCCTCGCTGCCCTTGTCGCCTGATGCCTCGTTAACAGCACCGTCTGCTGCCTCGCTGCCCTTGCCGCCTGATGCCTCGTTGACAGCACCGCCTACTACCTCGCTGCCTTTGCCGCCTGATGCCTCGTTGACAGCACCGCCTACTGCCTCGCTGCCCTTGCCGCCTGATGCCTCGTTGACAGCACCGCCTACTGCCTCGCTGTCCTTGCCGCCTGATGCCTCGTTGGCAGCACCGCCTACTGCCTCGCTGCCCTTGCCACCTTATGCCTAGTTGACAACACCGCATACTGACCCGCTGCCCTTGCCGCCTGATGCCTCGTTGACAGCACCGCCTATTGCCTCCCTGCCCTTGTCGCTTGATGCCTCATTGACAGCACCGCCTACTGCCTCGCTGGCCTTGCCGCGTGATGCCTCGTTGACAGCACCGCCTACTGCCTCGCTGCCCTTGCCGCTTTATCCCTCGTCGATAGCATCGCCTACTGCCTTGCTGCCCTTTCCGCCTGATGCCTCGTTGACAGCACCGCCTACTGCCTCGCTGCCCTTGCCGCCTGATGCCTCGTTGACAGCACCGCCTACTGCCTCGCTGCCCTTGCCGCTTTATCCTTCGTTGATAGCATCGCCTACTGCCTTGCTGCCCTTTCCGCCTGATGCCTCGTTGACAGCACCGCCTACTGCCTCGCTGCCCTTGTCGCGTGATGCCTCGTTGACAGCACCGCCTACTGCCTCGCTGCCCTTTTTGCTTGATGCCTCATTTACAGCACCGCATACTGCCTCGCTGGCCTTGCCGCATGATGCCTCGTTGACAGCACCGCCTACTGCCTCGCTGCCCTTGCCGCTTTATGCCTCGTCGATAGCATCGCCTACTGCCTTGCTGCCCTTGCCGCCTGATGCCTCGTTGACAGCACCGCCTACTGCCTCGCTGCCCTTGCCGCCTGATGCCTCGTTGACAGCACCGCCTGCTGCCTCGCTGTCCTTGCCGCCTGATGCCTCGTTGACAGCACCGCTTACTGCCTTGCTGCCATTGCCGCCTGATGCCTCGTTAACAGCACCACCTACTGCCTCGCTGCCCTTGCCGCCTGATGCCTCGTTGACAGCACCGCCTACTGCCTCGCTGCCCTTGTCGCCTGATGCCTCGTTAACAGCACCGCCTGCTGCCTCGCTACCCTTGCCGCCTGATGCCTCGTTGATAGCACCGCCTACTGCCTCGCTGCCCTTGCCGCCTGATGCCTCGTTGACAGCACCGCCTACTGCCTCGCTGTCCTTGCCGCCTGATGCCTCGTTGACAGCACCACCTACTGCCTCGCTTCCCTTGCCGCCTTATGCCTCGTTGACAACACCGCCTACTGACCCGCTGCCCTTGCCGCCTGATGCCTCGTTGACAGCACCGCCTATTGCCTCGCTGCCCTTGTCGCTTGATGCCTCATTGACAGCACCGCCTACTGCCTCGCTGGCCTTGCCGCGTGATGCCTCGTTGACAGCACCGCCTACTGCCTCGCTGCCCTTGCCGCTTTATGCCTCGTTGATAGCATCCCCTACTGCCTTGCTGCCCTTTCCGCCTGATGCCTTGTTGACAGCACCGCCTACTGCCTCGCTGCCCTTGCCGCGTGATGCCTCGTTGACAGCACCGCTTACTGCCTTGCTGCCATTGCCGCCTGATGCCTCGTTAACAGCACCGCCTACTGCCTCGCTGCCCTTGCCGCCTGATGCCTCGTTGACAGCACCGCCTACTGCCTCGCTGCCCTTGTCGCCTGATGCCTCGTTAACAGCACCGCCTGCTGCCTCGCTGCCCTTGCCGCCTGATGCCTCGTTGACAGCACCGCCTACTGCCTCGCTGCCCTTGCCGCCTGATGCCTCGTTGACAGCACCGCCTACTGCCTCGCTGCCCTTGCCGCCTGATGCCTCGTTGACAGCACCGCCTACTGCCTCGCTGCCCTTGCCGCCTTATGCCTCGTTGACAACACCGCCTACTGACTCGCTGCCCTTGCCGCCAGATGCCTCGTTGACAGCACCGCCTACTGCCTCGCTGCCCTTGCCGCCTGATGCCTCATTGACAGCACCGCCTACTGCCTCGCTGCCCTTGTTGCTTGATGCCTCATTTACAGCACCGCATACTTCCTCGCTGGCCTTGCCGCATGATGCCTCGTTGACAGCACCGCCTACTGCCTCGCTGCCCTTGCCGCTTTATGCCTCGTTGATAGCATCGCCTATTGCCTTGCTGTTCTTGCCGCCTGATGCCTCGTTGACAGCATCGCCTACTGCCTCGCTGCCCTTGCCGCCTGATGCCTCGTTGACAACACCGCCTACTACCTCGCTGCCCTTGCCGCCTGATGTTGGATGCACGTGATTCTGAGTGCATGTAATCCTAACGTCTTGCCGAGTGCTCGTGCTATTTGTGCTTGCATGATTTGCATGAGCGTATGTCATTGTGCATGGCTGTTGGATATTATCATCTCTGTGTTTTCTTCAAGTTTGAATGCTTGACAATGCAGGAGAAATTCAGAGCTTTCCAACGATACCAAGATCGCCTTATTCTGACCAAGATCGCCCAAGCTACAAGATTTCCAAGATTTGGATTTCTTATTACCTTGTGGGGTTATATCTAATTTGGGTGATTACTTGGGACATGACTATAAAGGGATCTTTGGTTGGGTGGTTAGGAAGCCAACTTTGACTTTTGAAGTTTTAGCATGGGTTGCAAATGTTGCAACACTTAGGCAAAATCCAACTAGATTGGATTTTGCATGTGACACCTGAAGGACCTCATGATGAGGGTTGCATCCTTGCTACTAGGAAGGTTCTTACCATCCTTCCTTAGCTCTTGGAGAACCCCTTCCCTCTCATGGTTCTCTTGGAGGTTCCCAACTCCAACTTCCTATGCCCTAATGTTTGTACTTCCTCCACCATTCTAGTCATGCGGTTGCTGGACGTTTTTACTTGGTTCTCACTCTGTAGACGATCTTAACGAGTGATTCAACTTGGAGATGGTAGCTAAGTCTAAGCCGCAACATCCTACTGAGCGGATTTGCGTTTAGTTGAGAATTGAGTTCGTCGTAAGCTCTCAAAGTGACGGATCCTGAACAACAAGTGGTATCAGAGCGGGAAGTCGACTTTGAGACGACGAATCGTCGTGAATTCTCAACCAATGTTTTCGAGTGAGACCATTTTCTAGTAGCTCGGCTCGAGAAATTTTGATTGGTGGTCGATGCGCATTCTAATTCGAAGTATTTAGTCCGCGACGGCGATTTTCGTAGAATCAAAATTTCTGGCAGAATTCTCTCCAAACAATTTCTCAAGTTTCCACCGTTCATAAGGCCTCAATATGGTTGGTACGAACTCCGGAGGTGCTAGTGGCGAGATGGATAGAAGTAGAGAGGCTGGAGAGCAGGGGGGAGTTGCTGGTGGAGGAGTGGGGACTCACCAACCAGCCAACCCTACGCTACCGACTTCTTCTACACCATTTCCTACTACCGTGGATCCTGTGAAAGCTTTCTCTATTGAGAAATTCATGGGGGAGGACTACGAGCACTGGAGTTTCCGCATAAGGCTGATGTATACCCAATACAAGCTATTGGATTTGGTGGAGGGGAAGGAGAAGATGCCGGAGGCCGCGGAGCTGAAAGGAGCGTGGATGAAGCGATCGTTTGACGCGTACATGCTCATGGTGCAAGCGGTTGGCGGGCGGCAACTTGACCACATCAAGGACCTCTTGGGTGATCCAGAGTGTGGCCCCAAGGCTTGGAGGAAGCTTCTGGATGTGCACTCACCGACACATGCTACCGGCATCGTGCCACTCGCGCGGCGGCTGCGCGACATCAAGTTCGTTGATGGAGAGCCGATGCAACCGGTGTTGGATGAGATGCGCGACATCTTCACGAAGCTCCAAGGAGGCGGTGTGGTGTACCCGGAGCTCGTGCAATGCGTGAAGATCGTGATACGGCTGCCGGAGTCATGGTCTGCCCTAGCGATCAACCTCAACTCCCAACAACCCCAATGGAGCGTGGATTACATTCGCGCGCGCATCCTAGAGGAGGACCTGCGGCAGCGGAGTGTGGAGCGCTCGGAGGAGGGGGCTGGCTATGGAGTTGGAGGTGGAAAAAGTGGCTTTAAGAAGAAGTGGAAGGGCAAGAATAAGGATAACCCTAAGGAGGATGGCGGCAGGGGTCAAGGGAAGGAGTGCTTCTACTGCAAGAAGCGCGGACATCGTTGGCGGAAGCGCTACCAATGACCCAAGGATTGGACCCCGCCTTAATCAAACAACCAGCGTGGTGGCACGAGGAGTGGGAGAGTCATGGGAGCTAATGGAGAGGAGAAGGATGAGGAGAAAGGCGGCAAATCTGAGGAGCGGAAGGTCGGGTTCTTCTTCTTCGTGAACGAAGGCGCAACCAACCACGCTATGGCTGCCAAGGTTCTCCTACACCCCCTCACCAATTGGGTGATTGACTCCGGAAGCTCTTGGCACATGACTCCTCGTGCGGACCTACTTGATGAGATTCAGCCCGCACCCATCTCTACAGTCACATCCGCGACGGGCGCCAAGGCCAAGGTCATGGCCATGGGATGCGCTAAGTTCATGGGAGCGGATGAAGACCTCATGGGGCTAAAGAACGTGCTGTGGGTGCCAGACTTGTGCGCGAACCTGATTTCTACCGGCCGGTTGGGAGATGCGGGTGTGAACACCGAGACGATTGGCTCGGAGCGCTATCGTGCCTACAACGATGAGCGCCTCATTTGGGACCTGCAGTGGAAGGGAAATGTCCACAAGCGGATGTGGCAGATCCCGGTCCTCCCTTCGCGAAGATCGGGCAAGGCGGCAGCGGCGGCATCTATGGAGGAGAGCGTCATCGAGGAGGAGCAGCAAGGTGTGCAAGGAGAGGAGCTGAGCGGCCTACTGCCTCGCTGCCCTTGCCGCCTGATGCCTCATTGACAGCACCGCCTACAGCCTCGCTGCCCTTGCCGCCTAATGCCTCGTTGACAGCACCGCCTACTGCCTCGCTTCCCTTGCCGCCTGATTCCTCGTTGATAGCACCGCCTTCTGCCTCGCTGCCCTTGCCGCATGATGCCTCGTTGACAGTACCGCGTACTGCCTCCCTACCCTTGCCGCCTGATGCCTCGTTGACAGCACCGCCTGCTGCCTCGCTGCCCTTGCCGCCTGATGGCTCGTTGACAGCACCGCCTACTGCATCGCTACCCTTGCCGCCTGATGCCTCATTAACAGCACCGCCTACTGCCTCACTGCCCTTACCGCCTGATGCCTCGTTGACAGCACCGCCTACTGCCTCGCTGCCCTTGCCGCCTGATGCCTCGTTGATAGCACCGCCTACTACCTCGCGACCCTTGCCGCTTGATGCCTCGTTGAAAGCACCGCCTACTGCCTCACTGCCCTTGCCGCCTGATGCCTCGTTGACAGCACCGCCTACTGCCTCGCTGCCCTTGCCGCCTGATGCCTCGTTGACAGCACCTCCTACTGCCTCGCTGTCCTTGCCGCCTGATGCCTCATTGATAGCACCGCCTACTACCTCGCTGCCCTTTCCGTTTGATGCCTCGTTGACAGCACCGCCTACTTCCTTCTTGCCCTTGCCGCCTGATTCCTCGTTTAGAGCACCGCCTACTACCTCGCTGCCCTTCCCACCTGATGCCTCATTGACAGCACCGCCTACTACCTCGCTGCCCTTGCCGCCAGATGCCTCGTTGATAGCACCGCCTACTGCCTCGCTGCCCTTGCCGCCTGATGCCTCCTTGACACCACCGCCTAGTGCCTCGCTGCCCTTGCCGCCTGATGCCTCGTTGACAGCACCGCCTACTGCCTTGCTGCCCTTGCCGCGTGATGCCTCGTTTACAGCACCGCCTACTTCCTCGCTGCCCTTGCCGCTTGATGCCTCGTTGACATCACCGCCTACTGCCTCGCTGCCCTTGCCACCTGATGCCTCGTTGACAGCACCGCCTACTGCCTCGCTGCCCTTGCCGCCTGATGCCTCGTTGATAGTACCGTCTTCTGCCTCGCTGCCCTTGCCGCCTGATGCCTACTTAACAGCACCGCCTACTGCCTCGCTGCCTTTGCCGCCTGATGCCTCCTTGACAGCACCGCCTACTGCCTCGCTACCCTTGTCGCTTGATGCCTTGTTGACAACACCGCCTACTGCCTCGCTGCCCTTGCCACCTGATGCCTCGTTGACAGCACCGCCTACTGCCTCGTTGACAGCACCGCCTACAACCTCGCTGCCCTTGCCGCCTGATGCCTCGTTGACAGCACCGCCTACTGCCTCGCTGCCCTTGCCGCCTAATGCCTCATTGATAGCACCGCCTCATGCCTTGCTGCCCTTGCCACCTAATGCCTCCTTGACAGCACCGCCTACTGCCTCGCTGCCCTTGCCGCCTGATGCCTTGTTGACAGCACCGCCTATTGCCTCGCTGCCCTTGCCGCCTGATGCCTCGTTGACAGCACCGCCTACTGCCTCGCTGCCCTTGTTGCCTGATCCCTCGTTGACAGCACCACCTACTGCCTCGCTGCCCTTGCCGCTGTCAACGAGAGTTGTGTATTGGCCCCGTCCTCGCTTGGGCGGAGCCGACCTCGTGGTCGGGTGAGGGGAGCAGCCGACCTCTAGCAGTGGGTGAGCTGGTCGACAAGGAGGTCGACCTGCACGGGGGACCACTGCACGGGCGCCGACTTCAGGGAGGTTGACTTGGGTGTCGACCTGCGGAGGACGTCAACTTGGTGACGTCAACTTGGGGAAGCCGACTTCGGCAGTCGGCTAACGGACTGCTGGTCGACCTGCTAGTGGTCGACTGGACCTGGTGGTCGACGAAGGAGGGGCCGACGTCGACCTCGACTCAGGACGCCGAGCAGTTGGGCGTCGAGTAGCGGGGCGTCAACTTCGTGACGCCAGCTTCGGGTGGCCGACGTGGGTGGTCGGCCGACGACTGTGCTGGTCGACGAGGAGCAGGTCGACCAGGAGTGCTGGTCGACGTGGAGCTGGTCAACCAGAGGGGATGTCGACCTGGAGGAGGTCGACCGATGGTGTCGTCGACCTGGTGAGGTCGACGTGGAGGTGGTCGTCGACTTGGGAGGTCGACGGGCACGTACGAGAGCTGCTGGTCGACGTGGTTGCCTGGTCGACCAGGTTACCTGGGTGACGAAGTGCTGCGGAGGAGTGCGACGGTCGCCCAGGCGAAGTTGGCGAGCCCGACCTCGGTGGTGATATCCCGAGGTCGTCGTGGCGGATCAGAGGCAGTCGTCAGCTCGAGGTTGACGTGGTGTGTGCGCTGTGCAGGTGACAAGACTCTGCGCGCCAATCATCTGCGCACAACTGCGAAGCAGGGTGCACTGCTGTCCTGCATGAGCAACGCTGTCACGCCGTCAACCTGCGACGTTGGCACGCCGTCGACCTTGCCTTGCTAGAGCGCGGTCGACGAAGTCGTGCTTGAACGCGGTCGACCAAGCTGCGGTGGCAGTTGGCCGACCTGAATGCTTGCTCTGATGTAGTCTTGCATTGCCAACTTCATTGTACCCATTGTTCTGAACTTTTCCTAGTGAAACTCTTGCCAATTTTCCCCGTGAACTAGCAAGTAGTGTGCGTACAAGGAAAACGACTAAGGAACAGAGAACGCAGAGATCACACGAGCACACGTGCCTAGCCCGTAGCCTAGCTCCCGTTGCTGTAGTTATCTCCGCATGGTGCGGTGAGCGTGGACGGCACACGACTTACCTTTCAGTCAGGTCGACGTAGACACCACTTACCTATTTCGTAGTTGCAGGCCGGCAACTGTGCTGTAGTCACTATGGTAGGAGCCGTAGGTGACGCGGGGGTGGTGGACACCCTAGAGGCACGGTTGGAGAACGCGAGGAGGAAGCATGAGGCCAATGAGTATGGCGACTTGCCCTGGCCGGTCGTCGAGGCTGGACTCCGCTCCATGTGGGCGACGGAGCACCCGTCTCGACCTGCCTCTCCTCGTCCGCTGAACAACGAAGGCGGCGTCGACGTGGGCGTCAACGCCGATGGTGGTCAAGTCGGCAGCAGTGCTGGAGGCACGTCGAGGCAACGAGGTGTGATACACGCCGGTGAAGTCGGCGGCGTTCAGGCGCAAGGGATGCAGTCGTCGGCGGCTGGAGGCTCTTCGCGGGGTGACATCGGAGGGCGTCGAAGTGGATTGTCGCCGATGTCGGCGACCCAGGTGACGGCGGATGGGATTGCACCAAGCTACGGCTACTTCAAGTTTACGCCGGACAGGATCTCGGTCACCCCTCCGCTGGTCGGTCGACCCGACATACTCACCTGGAAGGAATCCATCGAGCCCCAGCTGGAGATGGCCGGGCTGATCGGCTTCGCCCGAGGGACCGTGGCGACGCTGGAGGAGCACCACCCCGACCTGCGTGCGGAGTTTCGCGCCGTGCAGCTGTTGACCTTCACGGTCATCTCGCGGTGCTGCTCGTCGGGCGTGCAAATCGCCTTGAAGTGGTGCCGGGAGTACCTCGACGCCGGCCACCGGGCGTGGCACTTCATTGAGTCCACGTACCAGGTCACCGACGACCTGTTCATCGCCCAGCTGGAGGGACAGCTGACACACCTGCGTATGGGCGACGAGGAGAGTGCGACCGACTACTGCAACCGGGCCAGGCGAATTCTCGCCACCATCAGGATGGCCGGCGCGCAGTACTCCACGGCGTCGTACATCACCCATGTCATGCAGGGACTGTCTAGCAGCTATAACCTGCTGAAGCGGCTGTCTATGGCGCCGAGCACGAGGGCGACGCTCAACGAGGACAACCTGACCTCGTACATCCTGCAGGACGAGGCGATGCAGGAGGCTGAGCAATCGCAGGAGCTCTTGGCGCAGGCCAACTTCGTCGCTCCGGCAAAGCAAGGAGGCCGACTAGGACAGCGCGGACAGTCTGGTGGCGGCGGGAGCGGTGGCTGGAAGTCGACCAAGGAGGTCGAGAAGAAGTCGACCAAGGACGGCGGTCGAGGAGGAGGAGGTCGACGTCGGGAGTGCTGGATCTGCCACAGCCTCGATCACCTCTCCTTCGATTGTCCCGACCGCAGTGACTCCGACGACGACGACAAGGGCGGCCGCGGGAGGTCTGGCAGCCGTCGTCCTCGTCGTGGAGGAAATCATCCGCGCAAGGAGAAACAGTCGACCAAGGCATCGACTTCGGCGAAGGACGCCGACTCCGTTGCAGGCGGCAAGGGGCGAGACGACAAAATGGCGTCGTGCTCGCTGGTCGGCGTC